TCTTTCTTTCTGGCGAGCACACATGCCCTATAGCAAAAACCTCAAAAAAAAAAAAAAAAAAAAGACCCTGAGCAGAGACTCTAAGTATGCCATGACCAATATTCTGACCTACACAAACTATAAGCAGCTAAACAGGTGGTAATTTGCTACACATCAACAGAAAACTAATATAGAGCTCTAGGGCATTAAAAAGATAACCACAACAAAAGATCAAAGAAAGAAAATCTCTGAGAAATACTAAGATTACTGGAAATTCAATCCAAGAGGTACAACATCCCACTTTGTTGTTCCAGAAGCAATACAACAAAGGAAATGATCTGATTAAAAACTACTAAAGAAATAATACTAGGAAAATCTCTCAAGATGGGAGTTCTTCATAGTAATTGTGACAAGACAAACATGAAGATTGTGGTGAAAAGGAAACTCTCCTATACTGTGAGAATGTAAACTAGTACAGCCACTGTGGAGACTAATATGGAGAGTCCTCAAAGACCTACAAATAGAACCACCACATGATCCAGCGATTCCACTCCTGGGTATCTACCCAAAGAATAGGAAAAAGCTCAGTCAAAAAAGTGCTTGCACATTCATGTTTATTGTGGCATTATTTTCAACTTCTGAGACATGGAAGCATGGACCAGCAGTTAGCATAATGGCTATGTCGCTGGACTCCCACGCAGTCAACCACGGTTCGTGTCCCAGACCCGGTGGCTTAAAACTCACGCCGGGCGAGTGTGCGTGCGTGCCCAAGATCCCAAGAGGAGTACAGAGGAGAAGGGACTGTGGCAAGGCCATCCCCCCTGGAGGGTGATTTCTTGCTTTCTGTCTCTCTGTCTCTCTCTGTCTGGCGAGCGCATGTGCCCTATAGCAAAAACCTCTCCAAAAAAAAAAAAAAAAAAAAAGACATGGAAGCAACCCAAAAGTCCACAAGCAGATGAATGGATTGAAAATTTATGGCACATATACACTATGAAATACTACTGAGCCATAAAAAAACAAGACCCTGGGATTTGATAGAAAGTAGACAAATGTGGAAGATTTACTACTGAATGAAGCAAGCCAGACTATAAAGGAGAGACATTGTATGTCCCCACTTAATATATACCAACTGTCCACACGCTATGGCAGAAACTGAAAGATTGGAGGATACAGAACCATGGAGAACGTTGCAGATACTGGAGACAGTGTGTGAGGAGATTGGGAGGCAAGGGAGGGTGAGAAGAAGGGATTCAAGGAGAAAAATTGCAAGACAAGACATTTAAGGAACACAGCAATAGAAGATTGTTGATGATAACATGTCTGATAATATCTTTAACAGGACTTGTGTGTAGTGTTTTTATGCTGGGAAAATTATTTCTACAAGATGTGGTGATGTACAGTGATTGAATGTATAATATAAAAAAGGGAAAAAATTAATTTAAAGAAAGACACATAGGAAAGCACATCATTATAAAAGGCGGCTAGATCTCACATGGTCAACAGTGTAATTCCAAGTCCTGAACCCAGGAGCTTTAAAAACACACCAGGCACAGGCACCTGCATACCCAAAATTCTGAAAAGAGGAAGAAATGAAGGAAAAGGGATTGTACAGTGACCATTCCCATGAGGGGGAAAAGGTGCTTTCTCAATTTCCCTCTCTTACTCTTACTCTTTCTCTCTCTCTCTCTCTCTCTCTCTCTGGCACCCTCTGGCAAAATTTAAATAAATAAAACAAAACAAAACAAAACAAAACAAAATCTTGGAAACTAGAATACCAAGGAGTCAGGACCTCAACATTCTGAGGAAAATTATTTTCAACCTAGAATTCTGATCAGCCAAATAATCCTTCCTCTCAGAAGTCTACTTAAAGATGTTCTCCAAGAAAAGGAAACACAGGATCCAGAGGAGAAGTGAAAACACACCTAATGGAGTG